GTTATCGTTTTGGTTGATAAATTAAATTTTTGGTATAATCATGTGATATGGGTGTGATAATCATGTGAGATGGGTGTGATAATCACCGTTATACATCACTTGGKYTATCGTTTTGGTTGATAAGTTAAATTTTTCGGTGTAATCATGTGATATGAGTGTGATAATCACCGTTATATATAACTTGGGTTATCGTTTTAGTTGATAAGTTAAATTTTTGGTGTGCTAATCATGTGATATGGGTGTGATAATCATGTGATTATCATACAATTATCACACTATCGCTTATATCCACACGATTTGGTGTGATATGGGTGTGATAATTATGTAATTATCATACAATTATCACATTATCGTTTATATCAACATGATTTGGTGTGATTTGGGTGTGATAATCATGTGATTATCACACAGTTATCGGCTAGGGTTAACTTAAAAAATCGACTACCGATTTGGTGTGATATGTGTGTGATTTGGAGACGCATGAATGAAGGAGAAGAAGACGTGATCAATGAAGGAGAAGAAGACGTGGAAACGTGAAGATAAACATGGTTAATTAAAATAAAATAAAAATTATAAAAATTACTTAATTACATTACTGTCCTTATTAAATTATTTATATATAATAAAAATTAATTTATTAATTAAAAAAGTTTGTGGTTATTGAGTTGTTCTCGCGTTTTCGTAAATCACAGGGGTTCTCGTTTGAACCTCCACCTATATATATATATATATATTAACTTGGTGGTTAAGGGATTGTTTTTTTGAAAATTTCAAAGTCCCATACTTTTAACTGTTCAAGAAGTTGTAAGAATTAAGATTACTATATTTAGAGAAAAAGGCATACGTTGTCATGATATCATTCCAACCGAAAGGTGTCAAATCCATGATGCAGATGCTGCCCATCCATACCACCAACCAACTTCATTCCCAAGGTCTTAACACAAAATTTATACAAACCCCCATATCCAAACCCTAAAACTTTTACAAGAAACCAATCTTTCCCCACTTTCTTTCCTAACAAATTACCCTTTTTTTTCATTATTACTGAATATAAGTTAACAAGACAAGGTCAAATCAATGGGTTCTTTGTGCTGGCAAATTGGTATCTGCATTTGGGTTTTCTTGTTCGGTTTCATCTGGGTTTTTCAGGATTCAAACATCGAAAACGGGGCTGTTTCCATCGATGGTGAAAGTGGGATTGCGGAGATAGATACAGATTTCATCTGTGCTACCATGGATTGGTGGCCACCTGAGAAGTGCGATTACGGTACTTGTAGCTGGGATAATGCTTCTCTTCTCAATGTGGTTTGTTCCCCCTTCTTCCTTTTTTGTGTTCTTGGAGAATCTTTGATGATCTTGTGAAAAGATTCTTGATTTCTTATGTTTGTGGGTCCAATCATTCGATCATATATGTTTATGGGTTGATTCTTGTTTTTCTTTGGTGCAGGATCTTAGCAACAAAATTTTTCAGAATGCAGTCAAAGGTAGAAACTAATAACCACTCTCTGTTCGCTTATTATAATCAATTTTGAAGTAGAAAAACCTGGTCATTGGACCCCCAAAAGTCAAATTTGTTGATTCTTGATCTGAAAGTTGGCCTTTCTTGAACGATTATGCAGCCTTTTCACCATTAAAGATTAGATTGGGAGGGAGTTTACAGGACGTACTTGTCTATGAAACCGAAGATCACATAAAACCCTGCACCCCCTTCACTCAAAACACCTCTGCATTGTTTGGTTTTAATGAGGGCTGTCTACCTCTGTCCCGCTGGGATGAACTAAACAGCTTCTTTAATGAAACCGGGTAACCGAAATTACATATTTTTGTCATTAAATTTCGATTCTGAGCTTTGTGATTTGGAAACTAAGGGGCCGTTTACCAAGTAAGTTTACTGGGTAAGTGCTTACCGGCAAGAGTCAACTCGTTCATTTATTTTATGGGGTATTGTTCTCGGTCATCAAAATTGGTTGTTGGTAAGCATCTTTTACCCTGTAAGTGCTTACCGGGTAAGAGTTCTACACCCTCACTTACTAGGTAAGATTCTTCGTCCTTGCTATGCCTCTTAACGGGTAAGATTCTCCCGGTAAGGTAAGTGAAACCTGGTGAGTGCTTACCCGGTAAGCGTTTGCTAAACGGCCCCTAAATTTGCTCACAGTCAGTGTTTTCTATCCAGGGCTGAAATAATTTTTGGATTGAATGCTCTTACTGGAAGGGAAGTGCTAGCTGATGGTTCGACTGTTGGACCTTGGGACTCCACCAATGCTGAATCTCTGATGCGTTATACGGTTAAAAAGAATTACAGCATGTATGCTTGGGAACTCGGTAAATCCTCCACCCAACACTTTGTTTGGTAGTGGCTTGATGATATGGAAAGTAGCTTTTTCTGTAAGCTTCAAGGGAGAGCTTTATGTAGAAAGCCAAGTTTTTTCCAAACCTGCTCCTCCCAATTAAAAAGCACGCTCCTTCCATCTATGAAAAAACTCTCCCAAACAAAAACCTTCCAGAAAATCTATACAGACAGATCAATCCACACAACTAGCTTTATCCATACATGATTTAATGGAAAACCAACCAAACAACCCGTTACATTATCTAACTTATAAGTTTTATAGTTCTTGGTTATGTATTCTTTTTTAATATAATAATATTCTTCTTTTGAATAAGTGAAGGGCCACTCAACTTGTTAGGAAGTTATGTATTTTTCATTAATACGCCTTTAACGTTTCGTTATAGGGAACGAGTTAAGTGGAAGCGGAGTTGGAGCGAGAGTAACAGCATCTCAATACGCCATTGACACAACCCTCCTCAAGAACGTAGTACACGAGATCTATGACGGCATTGAGCCTAAGCCACGTATTATCTCACCAGGAGGCTTTTTTGATGCAAAATGGTTCAAGGAGTTCATAAACAAAACAAATGAAATCCTCGATGTGGTCACTCATCATATATACAATCTTGGCCCAGGTATCTTTCATAACAAATATTGAATAACGGTTTAAATTTCAGAAAAAAAAATCATAAATGTTGGAACTTTGTGTCGTCATTTCAAACAGGAGTTGATCAAGGCCTAGTCGAAAAGATTCTTGATCCGTCTTATCTTGATGGCGAGGCTGATACTTTTAAGCAACTCAAGAACATCCTCGCGACCTCCGAAACTTCGGCATCTGCTTGGGTTGGTGAGGCTGGTGGAGCTTACAATAGTGGCCACAATCTTGTGACAAATGCATTTGTGTTTAGTTTCTGGTAAGCACAGCTTTATATTCCTAGGATTGTACATATTTAGGAAGTTGTAACCATTAATACATAAGTTACAACTTGAGAAAAAAAGAAATTGGGATGTGGGTATCCTGAGGGCTTGTACCCTTTGCATAAATTTGTGTACTCAACATGAGAGGTCGAATAGTGTCGTTACTATAGGGGACTTAAGAGAGGACAGGACAGGACATAACAACTGTTCAACGTTTGGTAAGATAAAACTGGACAAAATAGAACAAGTAAAATGACCAATTTACCCCTGATGAGTTGTTTATTTTAATTAATTTATGTAATTTATTAAATTATAATAAAATAATTATTTTTATAACAAAATATATCATTTGAAGTTTTCGTCAAAACAATTAAAATGACACCAAATAAAAAGTTTTTGTAGTTTTCTATTTTTATTTTTATCTCTTTTCTACATTATTTTTTATTATTAATATATAATAAATTACATAAATTAATAAAAATATAGAAACCGTATAAAAATAATATTTTGAGGACAGTAAAATGAAAGTTTAAGAAACATAAAATACAACAAATAAAATTTAAAGAACGAATAAAATGTAAAAAAGAGACCTATTTGATGTTTTAGAAGAGAATTAAGTTTTATTTTGAGGTTATATTGATAAAATATAAGTCTGTTCCACCTTGTTCCACCCTGTTCCATGGGGTAGGGGTGGAACAGGCCTGTTCCACTTTATTCCACTTTGTTCCTGTCTGTTCCACATAAAATTCATGTCAAACATGAGACAGGGATCCTGTCCTATTCTGTCTTGTCCCTGTCCAGTGTACCAAACGCACGTGCATCCACTTAGTCTGACGTGTGCTCCTATAAGTTAACGAAAGTGGTTGCAATAATGTATTTACATGTGGAATTAGAGGTTGCAAGAACAAAAAAGAAGAAAGAAGCCACTTGGGTGTTGCAAAAACCCAGCTGAATGTCATTTTTAGTTAAACCGTACTTTTTTAATTAATATTTGTTTTATTTTGTACAATTATGCTAATTATTTAGTGCTCTGCTTGGAAATTTTTCTGGATCCGCCTCTGCAGGTACTTGGATCAGCTAGGAATGTCAGCTGTTTATGACACGAAGACGTACTGCAGACAGTCATTAATAGGTGGGAATTATGGCTTACTCAACACCACTACTTTTGAGCCGAATCCGGATTATTACAGGTACGTTTTGACTTTTAAGATCGAGCCTATGACTTCCCGAATTCAAGATCGATATTCTTTAGCTATAAATGTAATATTCTTTTCTTACTAGTGCTCTTCTTTGGCACCAACTAATGGGGAAAACGGTTCTCGCCACAAACTTTTCGGGGACCAAGAAAATGCGCTCTTACGCACACTGCGCTAAAAAATCTGTAAGTTTGCTAAAAGCTCATTTGTTGAGAAGTCTTTTTAATCCGAACCGAAATACCAAAACATCCCTACTTTATTCTAGAGCTCGACGTCTCGTTGATATATAGATTAGTTGGAGGTCCCTTGTCTGCTTAATAAAGTCTTGGGGGCTGTTTACCAAATGCTTACCTAGTATGTGCTTAATGGCTAAGCACTTACCGGCAAGAGTCACGACCCACTTTTACCTTGTTGGGTAACATTCTCTGCCATCAAAATGGATTGTCTGTAAGCCTCTTACCCGGTAAAAGTCTTCTCCCTTGTGACAAATACATCTGGAACAATACGTCGTGATTGGTTCTTATGGGTTATCAAAATTGTAGGATTCTCACTTGATTTGCCTCATGTATGTGTGTTTAATAGTTCAATAATCTTACAATGTTGTTGATTTGTATTTTAGGACGGAATAACGCTTCTACTCATCAATCTAGACACCACCACCACCGTTAATGTAACATTAACGATTAATAGCTTACTTAAATCTTGGGGACATGATAATCATCTGCGACAACCGCATACGAGAAAGGGAATCCGGATGGTTAGACAAGATACAAAGACGGGTGAATCAGCAATACGAGAAGAATACCATCTGACAGCAAAAGACGGAAACTTGCATAGTCAAACGATGGTGCTTAATGGGAAAGAGCTGACTGTGAACGAGGCAGGTGATATACCTCCATTGGAGCCACTAAACGTTAGTATATCAGAACCGATAACCGTAACTCCCAATTCTATTGTATTTGCCCACATCCCATCACTTACTTTGAATGCTTGTGGCAATGTGGCCATGGAGTTGTAACTCTTGGTACAAATTGTTTGGTGCTTGTTTAAGATAAAATGCAGTTTTGTTGTTTTGGTTGGATAGTTACTCAAGGGGCCATCTGAAATGCACAAGCATGAAGCAGTATATTAAGTGGCTGTTTGTCAAACGCTTATCCGGATAAGCGTTTACCAAATCACGTTATCTTACCGGATGAATATGGTAAGGATCATAAATCTTACCCGGTAAAAACAAGACAAGGACCAAAAGTCTTACCGAGTAAGTGAGAACGACGATTCTTACCACAGTAAGTGCTTACTGGTTAAATGGTTGCATATAATGTCGTTTTGGTGGACTAAAATCTTACCCGGTAAGTAAATAATAGTGTTAAATTTTACCTTCAACTCAACTATATATTCAGATTTTTACCACCACTTGAATGATGAATCAAACCAAACATAATTTTTTTCCCTTTTAAATCCGATTTTACCACCATCTGTATCAAACCAAACAATTTTAGATATTCAGCTCAGCTATCACTTTTACCCCTCGTTGACCGCGGCTCACCGTCATTATCCGTCGTTGACTGTCATTTGACCACCGTTCATCATGGTAAGTTTTCTTACATTAAACAAATAACACATTTTCATTACAAACTAATTTGGATTTATATGTTATTTTATAACTTCTTTATATTATATCCACTAGGGAGATTATTATCCGACACTCGTGACAATGAAATCAAGTACAAAATTCGCAAATACTATTTTGGCGATATTGCAGGTATGGAAAAACATACTACAAATGTTTAGGAGTATCTGTTTCGGTCATTGGCTCGATATCCGGTCAACACATGGATACCCGATGCTCGTGTATTTGATGTTACAAATGCAAGTATTTCCTGATGAAGACTCGCAAAATGCACTGTATTCTAATGTTGGGGGATACAATTTACGTTTTGGGCGAGAAGAATTCTATCTCATTACCGGTATGTGATTTGCCCAAAAAAACCTGCGTTATCGATTTGAACGATAGCATACTACCGATACAATTGATGGTTTTTTTTTTTTTTAACGATTTATAGAGCTAAAATCAACGAATTGGATGAGTTTTTCTGATTGTTAAATTTAGCGTATTTAGGATCGTGTTTATCAGATTTCGTGGACCAAACATACATGTAGTTGACAATGTTTGGGAGTGATTGCATTGAAGAAAGTTGCAAACTTTGAACAAGGTTTAGGGCCGTTTATTAAACGTTTACCTGATAAGTGCTTACAAGGTAACTTTTCTTACCAACTGAACATGATGAGGGTCAAAAATCTTACCCAGTAAAAACAATGATAAAGATGAAGAGTCTTACCCGGTAAGTGAGGGAGACGACTCTTACCCGGGTAAGTGCTTACCGGGTGAATTGTTGCATATGATACCATTTTGATGTACTACAATCTTACCCGGTACAATAAATTATAATGTTGACTCTTACCTGGTAAACATTTAGGTAAACGACACTTGGTAAAAATCATGAGTATTTAGAAAAAGATTTAGTAAAAATCACATATAAAGGGTTAAGAAAAATCAAACAATGTAGTTGCAGAATTTAATTTAAACATGCAAAGACACAAAGATGAATCTTATGATATGTAACCACAAAGAGTGGTGTCTGATTGGTTTGAGCTTGACTTCAAAGGTCAAAAGTACCATGAGGTCTCAGGTTTAAATTCAAGGAGGAATAAAAATCCCCTTGTGGCCACGGAGGTTCAAATGCGGTGACTCCGGGCTATCTGCAAAGCAGGTGGTCACCCTAGGATTAGTCAGCTCGCATAGCAGGTTGGATATCCAGGTTAACAAAAAAAAAAGACTTGATCAATTAATGCAAAACATAAGTCTGAACAGAAGGTAAAAATTTCTGATTCCATCAATCTAGAGTTAGGACTTGGTCGACTTTCTTTGTCATGATGCACATGTCTTAAGTTCGAATACACTGTCCAGACTTATATACTTAGGCAATTATAAAGGCGATTTCATAAATTTGATCAGAAGGATCAGATCTCTGAGTCCACTACCCAGACGTATACTTAGTGAAAATTTCACTAAGTTCAACTTTTCATAAATTCTAAAAACCACTACAACCAAGGGGATCTGCCCCTTGGAACCCGTTAGGGGTGCTGCCCCTCTAACCCTGCAAGAGAGTGCAACCCCCTTAACATCCGACTTATGATGATCTAAGGTGATATGTATTTATATTATTGTCTTGTTGAATTATTTTTCTACTAATTTTTTTAATAAAAACAAGAATTTTTTTAGGGGTGTTTGGGATTGCTTATTTGAAACAACTTATTTTTTTTTTGTAAAAATGCTTATTAATCTATATGGTATTAAACCATAGTTAAATAAAACAAGGTTAAAATTGTAAACTGATAATAAGCAGTTTTTCCGAAGTTAGGAATGATTAACTTATCAAAAACAGTTTATTACTGATTTGACACTGATATAAATAATTTTTTTTCTTATTCAAACACCAAAAAACAACTTATCATCAATGTCAAACTGAAATAAATTAAAAATCAACTTTTATAAGTAATTCCAAACACCTTATTTCCCTCGTCTCCTTTGTTTTTTTTTTTTTTTTATTAAAGGTTTCGAGCGTTGGTAGTATAAAAAACCTCAAGTCGCAAGCTTTGAAGTTTGTGCCCCTGACCATGACTATATGTTGAACATGAATCAGGTATGCAACTCCAGTTTGCCTGACGATACAAATCTAAGGGGTGTTTGGGATTGCTTATTTAAAATAACTTATGTTTTTTTGTAAAAGAATTTATTAACTTATGTGGTATCAAATCGGAGTTTTATAAAAAGTGTTTGGATTAGCTTATAGCGATACCAAACTGCAATAAGCTGATAAGTTGTTTTTTAGTGTTTGACAAATTTTGCTTATACCTGTAAAATGACCAAAAAAGACAGTCTTCCATATTATTGACTTATGAGAGTGTTTGAGATTACTTATTAACTTATTTAATTTTTTAACATGTAAAAATTTATTTTTCATCATTTATAATAATATCTTTGACAAAAATTTATATCAATAAGATTAATAATTTATATTAATAAGATTAATAATTTATATTAATAAGATTAATAATTAACAAACATTTATACCAATACCATTAATAATTCAAGAAAAAATAATATATTTATAATATATTTGAGGAAGGGATATTGATGATGATGAGACGTATATGATGTTTGGATAAATTTAAAAAGAGTTAAAATGGTAAATCGGTGATAAGTTGTTTTTCATAAGTCAGTAAGGATTAACTTATCAAAAACTGTTTATTACCAGTTTGGCACCGGTATAAGCAGTTTTTTTTTTCTTTTCCCAAACACTCTAAAACCAAACACTCTAAAATAACTTCATCTCCGGTAAATAACTTCATCTCCCGTGCCAGACTGAAATAAGTTAAAAAGCAGTTCCCATAAGCAATCCCAAACGCCCCTAAACTTTGCTCCGCCATGGTGTCGGCGAGTTCATCGGAGAACCACGATTTACTAAACAAGCAAGTTCAAGAAATAGCGGTGGACTGTCACCAGTTGCCGGAAAGATATATCCGTAAAGAAGATGAAGAGTACGGTAGCCTTACCAACGCCGGTGAGTCATCTTCGACGACTACGAGTCCCGAGGTTCCTGTTATTGATTTTAGCCTCTTGAATTCATCTCCTTTGGAGCTTGATAAGCTTAAGTCTGCTGTTGGCTCTTTCGGCTGCTTTCAGGTCTCTTTGTCCTTCGTCATATACATTTCGCTGGCAGTTCATTTCACTTGATTTGTTGATTAACTAAGTGTTATTGATCAATTGAATCGAGATATGCAACTGTAGATCTATTTTCTGTTGTGATAATTGGTTAATGGTTCCATATGTTCTGGAATTACAGAGATTTTGACATTTAGATCAACGAATCACTTTGAGGTGATTATAGACATCTTATGTAAACAAAGTTAGGTATATATTTGTTAATTCATCTCCAAATTAACAAAACTAAAACCAAGACTAAGAGTTTAATTAAGTCATTATATTGAAACAAAACATTGTTGTTTGTGGATATTTCTATTCTTGAAATTCGATTATGTTTCAGGCAATCAACCATGGAATTGAAGGTTCATTTCTAGAGAAAGTTCGCGAAATCAGTAGACTCTTCTTCAGATCATCGGTGGAGGAGAAGAAGAAATGCTTGAGAGCAGATGATGATATTGAAGGCTATGGGAATGACATGGTTCTCTCAAATCAACAAACTCTTGATTGGACTGATCGGCTTTATCTCACTGTACTTCCAAAACACCAACAAAGGCTTCAATTTTGGCCTCAAATTCCTTGTCATTTCAGGTAATCTCTTGATATCTGCTACGAACATATTTAGCTGTAACTTTATGTGAGGTGTTGTGTTTTATTTTATTTTCATTTGGGTTGATTTCAGTAAGTTAGGAAGTTGTAGGGGATAGTTGGTTGTGTTTAGGATGTTTAGGAAGTTGATTTCAACTGTTTTATCTCGGGGTTGTGGAGGGACATCAATCAAGAGTTGGCCGTTCACAAGCCACAGACGCTGAACCAGGCTATCGGACTTGCCAAGCTTATTGAAGACAAGATTGCTGATTATCGGCCCCTACCGATGGTACCACACCTTCCGCCGCCTATATCAACACCCCTTCTTCCAGCACCTCCAATTAAATCGAGAGCCTCTTCTAGTTCATCTCTTGCAGCCCCTTCTCTAGTCAAGCCTCTTAGTCCAGAGGAAATGCAACGTTGGAAGGTGCAAGGGTTATGTTTTCGGTGTAGGGAAGTTCCATCCAGGGCACTGTTGCAACCCCCCTCAGTTCTTGATGATCGAGTATCACGAGCCGCCGATGCACATCAGAACATGCCCCTGACAGAACCTACTACTGGTCAAACCTATAACCAAGATATGGGTGCCGCCATGGCCAAGGAGCAATGTTTGCAACATTTCAGAAGCCACTTGGGAGAACCGGGATGAGATCCTAGCTGTTCTTTTTATACCCGACCCTGCGGCCAAGGTCGTTTTTAGTGCGGGAGGAATTGATACCAACATATTTAGCTGTTGTGTTTTAACTTTATAAATAAGAAATCTCTCTATATATACATAATTAAGATTAAAGAAAGGAATCAAAGGAAAAAGTAGGCAAAATCAAGGTGAGTACTTATGTGATACATGCATGCTATATATAAAAGTATTATATGCATTACAAGTTATGTTGGCATGCTTGTTTTACATAGAAATATTGATACACATACATATTCAAGATATGCATGATGACATGTTCTAATACAGGTATACACACAAGACATGAAAATCATTTACATGTTACCATATGTGTTACACAAGGCATGAAATTTTTAACATGTTATGTATAACCATAATCTCCAACGTACGATATATTACGAGAAGGGATGTCTTGCAAACGAACATTATAGGGCAACCTTTTATAGACCCGAGGGTTAGCAAACCTCAAGACAAATATGGTATACATGCATGTGACAAATGAGATCTCAAAAGAATGTTTTATGCATGATAAAGAATAGTATTTTATGAATGATAAT